GCCTCATAGTGCCTTTACTTGTCCTTAAAATCCTGCCTCATAGTGCCTTTACTTGTCCTTAAAATCATGCCTCATAGTGCCTTTACTTGTCCTTAAAATCCCGCCTCATAGTTCCATTACTTGTCCTTAAAATCTTGCCTCATAGTGCCTTTACTTGAAAATAAAATCCTGCCTCATAGTGTCTTTACTTGTTCTTAAAATCTCGCCTCATAGTGTCTTTACTTCTTAAAATCCCGCCTCATATTGCCTATACTTGTCCTTAAAATCTCCTCTCATATTGCCTATACTTGTCCTTAAAATCCAATCCTGCGTCATAGTGTCTTTACTTGTCCTTTAAATCCCGCCTCATATTACCTTTACGATTTAAAATCCCACCTCATATTGCCTATACTTGTCCTTAAAATCCTGCCTCATAGTGTCTTTACTTGTCCTTTAAATCCCGCCTCATATTACCTTTAAAATCCCACCTCATATTGCCTATACTTGTCCTTAAAATCCTGCCTCATAGTGTCTTTACTTGTCCTTTAAATCCCGCCTCATATTACCTTTACTTCTTAAAATCCCGCCTCATATTGCCTATACGTGTCCTTAAAATCCTACCTCATAGTGTCTCTACTTGTCCTTAAAATCTTGCCTTAGTTTAGGTCAAATTAAATTTTATTCCATTGTAAGAAATGCACGTGAAATTAATACACCCCCACCACACTACCACCACACCATACCACCACGTACACTACCACCACCCCACCACCACCACCACCACACCACCAACGCCACCACTCCTGTCGGCCGCCGTCCAATATCAATTACCTGGCGGCCAATATCGCCACTCGAGACAAGACCGACGTAGGGTACACGTTATTGCATGTGTGCACGTTATTGCAGGTATACACGTGTACACGTCATTGCACGTCATCTGTTATCTCAGTTATTGGAGTTGGTGTAGATGAGGTATGCCCTCATGCAGGGAAGGTTTGGTTGGCTCTACAGTGGAACATTGGCCAACGTTAGAAAAAGTTCTGTTATATGATGATGTGATGAGTGGTGCTAACTATCCAGTCATTCAAGAACTAGGTTGATAACTCAACACATGTTCACACTATCTAACAACAAATCTATTTCCTATAACTTTGGGCCAATGTTACACTTGAGGTCGTATCTTACCACAGCTGACGGTACCTGGACTTAGCAAAAGCTGTTGACAAAGTTGACTGTGATATATAATATTCAGAAAAATGAGACCACTGGGGGAGAGGAGGAAGCCTGTTATTGTGGATCCACAACTTCCTGACTGACAGTGTACAAGCTGTTGCAATTCCAGATTTGGAATCGAGCGAAGCGAGGGGAGAAACGGAGTGTCACAAGGCTCAGTGCCACCGGGCTCAGTTCCACAGGGCTCAGTGCCACAGAGCTCAGTGCCACAGGGCTCAGTGCCTCGGGGCTCAGTGCCACAAGGCTCAGTGCCACAGGGCTCAGTGCCACAAGGCTTAGTGCCACAAGGCTCAAAGACACAGAGCTCGGAGCTTTGCACGTGCCACAGGGCTCAGTGCCACAAGGCTTAGTGCCACAAGGCTCAAAGACACAGAGCTCGGAGCTTTGCACGATCCTCTTCCTCCACATCGCCAACATCGATGCAGAATTACACATACATCCAGATCATCATTTGCGGACGATACAACAGTGCTGATGAGAATCACACACGACCTATACTGCGAGAGGTTACAGGTTCAACAATCGAAAGGTTCAACAATCTACGACTGAGCCCTAGTGAATGAAATGTAATTAAACGGTACTAAATTCGAAGCAATGAGATACAGAGTCGGCACAGTGGTCGGCCTGCTGCATCGCTAATTGGCATCGGATGGCAAAGAAATTGAGGAGAAAAAAACTTGTTCGAGATCTCGGAGTGTTGATGAGTAACGAAGCTACGTCTGATGACCACATCGAGGAAATAGTTGCGCGAGGCAGACAAAGGATGGGGTGGATCTGGGGGACATTTCAAATAAGAAAAGAAGCACCAATGATGACACAATTCAGAGCCCTCGTGCTCCCCAATCTTAAGTACTGCTGCCAGCTTTGGGCGCCGCTGGGCAATTGGCGGGTGCGGTGCGGCAATTGGAGTCAGTCCAACGGACTTTCTCGTCCAGGATCATCGGTATGAGAGAGCGGAGCTGAACTACTGGGGCAGGCTGGAATACCTTGGTACTGAACTTACTGAAGAAGAGAAGACAGAGGTACATCGTACTATATACTTGGAAGACGATAACTGGACTGGCCCCGACTTTAAAATTGAGACCTTCAGGATAGTAATATATTACAACGAAAGGAGGGGAGACTGTGTAGGATACCCCTTTTATCAACAGCGCTGCGGCCAGAGTTCAGGCTCCTCAGGAGGGATCACTGTCCGTAGTGGGACCGAGGTTGTTCAACGCCTTGCCAACGGTGATGAGAGGAGGATACCTCGCCCACCCTTGCGACATTTAAGAAACGACTGGATGCGTTTTAGTGTACTATCCCGGATTGTACGTCTATGCCGTACTACCCTCGGCAAGTAGCGAGCAACAGCACTTTGCATCAGCTGGGCCAACTGAGGGCATCAGCTGGCCCAACTGAGGGCATCAGTTGGCCCAACTGAGGGCATCAACTGGGCCAACTGAGGGCATCAGCTGGGCCAACTGAGGGCATCAGCTGGGCCAACTGAGGGCAACAGCTAGGACAACTGAGGGCAACATTCGGCCCAAACGAGGGCAAATGTGCGTTGGTCACGTTCAACGCTTCCTCAGGGCCCCAGCGGCGGGCGACCTGCCCATCGACGGCTTGAGGACAACGGACGGAGGACGACGAATGTGGCACATCAGCGTCTCAAACTTGACATGAGAGCATTAGCACCTGGATGCGTGACCCACCTAGACGCGTGACCCACCTGGACGCCTGACCGACCTGGAGGCGTGACCAACATGGACGCGTGACATACCTGGACACGTGACTCGGTGAGCTGGATGCGCATGGCGAGCTCCTCGCGCATGAATATGTCGGGGTAATGCGTCTTGGCGAAGCTGCGCTCGAGTTCGTTGAGCTGCGCTGGCGTAAAGCGCGTGCGGTGGCGCTTGGGCTTAGCGCTTTTGTCGCCCCCGCCGCCCCCCGCCCCGTCCACGGGGGGTGCCACGGGGCAGCTGGTCGCCTGGGGGGGGGGATGGGGAAAATTGTTTCTGCATAGATCGTTTGGAAATTTTTTTTTCCGTTTTTTGGAAACAAATTCTTAGAAATAAAATATTAAAGAATAAGAGGCATGTGTTGAGTATGTACCGTTTTCATATTACGCCACCGCAGCGCTGCAGCCGCCTTTCAGCAAATGCGCGCCGTATAGCTACATCTGTTGGCAAGCCCCAGACGCCATTACGGAACCATTTCATCGAGTCTGCATTTGTTAACGTGATTTTAAACTGACTCCACCTATTGAGAATCCCACCGACTGAGAAGTGCATGTGTGAGTTTCGCTGTGCTCAAGGCCTTCAAATCAGACTGATGGTCTTCCACTCCGTTCCTCATCATGAATGTTTGTGCGACCATCATTAAAAGCTCTAACCCATTTCCGCACCATTCCACCACTCACAATGTCTCCACCACTCACTTCACGGATTTGGTGATAATGTCAACTGATTTGAAGCCTTGAGCTATAGAGAAACTCACGCAGTTCGCAGTCGGCGGGATTCTCAGGCAGTTTAAAATAGCGTTAACAGATGAGAACTCGATGAAATGGTTCCGTAATGGCGTCTGTGGCTTCCCATTAGATAAAGCTACACGTTGAGCATTTGCTGAACAGCGGCTCCAGCGTTGCGGCGGCATAATTTTAAAACATTATGAACTATAAAAACACGCCTGGTATAATGCGACTATAAAATAATGCAACATAACATATCAAAGTGTGATAAAGCATTATATAATTTAGATGAATGTTTTTCTATAAAATTTTATGTAATATATGTCTATGTAATTTAATCTAATGAAAATAAGGCCATAATCGGCTGATTCATAATATTGTAGAATTTTCACTGCTAGCTGTTTATCGAATTCATACGTCACCTATTTAAGTTTCATACGCAATATCTCGTATATTGATACGTGATATATCATATATTGATACGTTTATCTCGTATATTGATACGTGATATATCATATTTTGATACGTTTTATCTCGTATATTGATACGCGCTATATCATATATTGATACGTGCTATATCATATATTGATACGTGCTATATCATATATTGATACGTTTTATCTCGTATATTGATACGTCGGGAGGGAGAGGGAAGGGGAAGGATATGGAGGCAAGTTTGCACCTACCGCAAGCTATTAATTAGAGATTAGGAGGCGTAGTGAAAACAATTAAAGTTAATGAGAAGTTAATGAGAGAGAGCAACGCTGGCACATTGTTGTGTAGGCCGCGCTCATTGCAGGGTTAGGATAAAAAAAGTTTGCATTCGCAGGCTACTTTTGACCGGAAAACCTTGTCTCAATAACAAAAATACTTTTTATAATCTTGAAAATGTGAAGAGATAGGTTTTTCATGCTTCGTTTTTTCGATTTTCAGGTCAAAATCTCTTCCTTATATAAACTTTAGATTCTTATTGCTAGATGTTTTGCTTGATGATGAAGTGATGATGATACTGACAGGTCAGCGAAGGATTTTTTTATTTTTTATTATTTTTTTTTTTGTCAGGTCAACATTTTCTCCGTGTATATTCTAGACTTTATTCTAACATCTAAATACTGGCAGCTAGACAGCCCGATAATTCTACGATTCTGGAACCCGTCATATAGAACCAGCGGCAGCAGCAGCAGCAGCAGCAGCAGCAGCAGCAGCACCAGCAGCAGCAGCA